AAACTAAGGCACAGAAAGGTTGAGTATTCAGCTTGAATTAACTTAACCAGTAAGTGATAGAGGCAGGTTTCAAACGAAGGCCATATGTCTCTAACCTCATGAAAAGATCTGAGAAGATATTTTTTCATGCAGATAGAATAACATATAGGAAGGCCTAGAGGTGGGAAAAGCTTGGCTTTTTTTTTAGAAATGATGCAGATTGGCAAGAGTAAAATATATTCAAAGAGTTGGTGGTGAGGGCATAGTGTTGGAGAGAGAAGTAGAGTCATATTGTATAAGGCCTTGTAGATGATGATGATGAATGTAATTATCACCTCTTGGAGAGTTTTAAGAATAAAAGTGGTATGATATGGTTTATATTTTTTAAAATATGACTCTGGCTACTTTGAGGAGAAAAGTGGCCCAGGCGTGGGATGATATTGGTTTGGACCAGGATTCAGCAGAACAGGTGGCAAGATGTGATTGATTTTAAAATCTATTTTTATGTTTGTACCAGTAGGGCCTGCTCTGGATGCTGAGGGGAAATGCACAATTAAGCAAGATGTCTAGATGATATTTTTGGCCTGAATAATAAGAAAAATGATAGAACCAACTCGTTTAAATGAAGAATATTAGGCTAGAAGCAGCTTTGGCCCTGAGGGTAGGGAGTGCAGGGAAATAATAAATTCTATTGGGAACATACTAGAGATGCCAACCGGACAGTTAGCTGTCCGATTTTGGAGTGCAGGGGAGCTCATGACTGCAGATTTGGGAATCACCAGCTGGTAGCTGGAATTTAAAGTCGTGGGTCTGGATGAGATCACCTGGAGAATGAGAAGAGACTGAGTCTATTCACTGGGTTTCTGGAGTGCCCCAGCATTTAGAGTTGGAGACAGCAAGGTCACAGGAAAAGAGCACTGATGAGGTGGTGGATAAACAGGAGTGTTTTGTTCCAGCAGCCAAGAAATTGACACCATTGAGGAAGGAGGCAGTGACTGTTGCATCAAATGCTGCTGAGAAATCAGTCAGAACTGAGAACTGATACTTGAATTTAGCAAGATGGAACCTGGTGTGACTTTGATAGGGATGGTATTAGGACTGTTGTGGGGATGAAAACATGAAAGAGGTTAAAATAAGAAAATGAGGTAATAAATAGATGATTTTCTTAGTTATTTGGTAAAGCAAAATAAAATAATAAGGCAGTAATAGGAGGGGAGCTTTGGGTTCAGGACTGTGTGTGTGTGTTAAGATGAGAGATATTATATGATATTTAATATGATGTATTAAATTTATCCAGGAAAAAGAGAGAGAGAAACTGATATCGTAGGAGAGAGGGGAGAAAACTGCAGAGGCAGAGTCTTTAAATGGATGAGAAGTTACAGAGTCCAGGCGATGAGTGAAGAGCTGACCTTGGGATGAGCAGGGAAAACTCCGTCCTTGTAACAGGGAGAGCTCACTAGCAGACCTAGTGGTAGGAATGTGAGGTGGTTTCCATTTGAGTGCTTGGGTTTTCTCTGGGACAATGAAGAGAAGTCAACAGTTGAGCCTGAGGATGAGGGAATTGGTGGTAGAGATCTGATGAGGGCAAATAAGATCTGAAATTGCTGTCCTAGAGAATGAGAAAGTGATTTTTCTAAATAAATGTATAAGAACGGCTAGGATGTTTGGAGGGTCCATTTGAAATCGATGATTATAATTTTAAAGTGAGATGAGTAAGCACTTCTGTAGCCAGGTTCAGCTGCCTGGGTGCTGGCATGGAGCATGTAGGAAGGTGTTGGTTTAATCATGGTAGATAAACCAGAGATGAGGTTTTGTGGGATGAACACAAGAAAATGAGGAGGATAAAAAATGTTGAAAGTACGATAAGAACAATTAGAATATACGCTAATATATGGGAGGAAATGGGGGGCATAATGAGGGATAAAAACTCAAGGGAAATGGTGGAATCAATGATGCAAGATCCCAGTGGGGTTGAAGAAGTTTTGGAATGAGGTATAAGAATCAACAACAAACACAAAGAGAAGGTGCTGTACAGAGAAGATGACACTTAACATAGAGGTTTTGGGAGAGGGGGGCAATGAATGGCAAGGATAAGATTTAGAGTACAACTAGAATCCCTATGACAGGGAGGGAGCCCAGGAGGTGACATGCTAGATCATGAAGCAAATAAGTGTCAGAACTTAAACTAGAACACACAATGGTCATATTCCTCCTGAATGTTGTACCTCACACCAACATTAGCTTCTAATTATTTTTTGACCTATAAAGCCAGGGTAACTAAATGGCGGGGCATTGGAGATGCTAATATGTGTGGAGGGTGGAGAGAGAGAGAGAAGGGTTGGTCTCATGAGTTTGAGATTGGTGCAAAGAGGACCCTATGTATAGAAGGGCTATCCTTATATTTATTTATTTATTTATTTTTCAAACTGTAAGAGAAAGTTTATTTAGAAAGCCACAGAGGGAGGGGCAGAGGGGGGTGGAGAAGGAGAGAGAGGCGGAGGAGAGAGAGAGAGAGAGAAGAAATACTTTGAGAAATGAGAGGGAGGAGAGGTTTGGGAGTACTGAGGGGCATATGCCCTTGGGAAAGAAGGGGTGGGGAAAGACACAGGCCTGTTCCATAGAGAGATCCACCCATGCTGGTTTAATGCTCTTCTGTTGCCATCTTTTAATTCTTACAGTTTTTTAAACCAGAGCACCACTTTTCATTTTGTACTGTGCCCCACAAATCATATAGCCAGTTCTGGAGAGGACCTTAGTAATCTTCACATTTAGGCAAATTTCCCATAAGCTTCAATTTTCTCCATTTAGCATGCCATTAACATTTTATCAGAGTTCATAATGTAAGTTTTAAAATACCCATCTGGCAAACACTTCACTTTCAATGTAAATTTCCTTTTAAAACCACTCACACTCAATATAAATTAGACAGAATGATAAATTCCCTGACTCAGGAAAGTGAAAAATCAAAAGAAAAAAATATATTTAAGTGTAGGTTTAGAGTGTAAATTCACACTAGAATTAAAGCTTAAGAAATAAACTTTCATTTTTGTTTTTTAGAATAAATGTAATATATGTTTGTTATGGAAGTTTTAGGAAATAAATATAAATAAAAAGATAAAACAGAAAAATCACCCCAAAAATCCTCAATAAGACTTAACCACTTTTAACATTTTGGTGTGTATCCTTCTAGGCTTTAGGTATATATTTGTAAATGTATATTTTGCATGTATACCTTTGTTTGTGCTTCTTTGATTATATTATAAACTAGAAGCCCAGTGTACGAAATTTGTGTATGAGGGGCAAGGGTCCCTAGGCCGGCCTGCACCCTTTCACAATCTGGGATCCCTGTGGGATCAGGCCTAAACTGCCTAAACCGGCAGTTGGACATCTCTCTCACAATCTGGGACCTCTGGCTCCTAACCACTCACCTGCCTGCCTGCCTGATTGCCCCTAACCACCTCTGTCTTCCTGCCTGATCCCCCTACCTCAACTGGCAGTTGGACATTCCTCTCATAGTCCGGGATCGCTGGTTCCTAACTGCTCACCTGCCTGCCAGCCCGAGATCCTCCTAACTGCTCTCCCCTGCTGGCCTGATCCTCCTAACTGCCTCTGCCTCAGCCCCGTCACCGTGACTTTGTCCGGAAGGTCATCCAGAAGATGTCCGGTCTAATTAACATATTACCCTTTTATTAGTACATATATCCTTTTCAACTTCATTTTAATTTATAATGAAATATATATATATATAATTAATCCTCACCTGAGGATATTTTTTCAATTAATTTTTAGGGAGAGTAGAAGGGAAGGTAGGAGGGGGTAAGAGAGAAAAACATCAATATCAGAGAGAGACACATTGATTGGTTGCCTCCTACACATGCCCTGACCAGGCCTGGGATAAAATCTGCAACCAGATACATGTCCTTGACCAAGAATTGACACTCTAACCACCGAGTCACACCTATCAGGGCTAATTTAATCATATATTTAATAATACATTCTACTTACCTCTCTATACTTATAATTAAATATTTAAAAATACTATAACTTAATATGATTTTCTATTTATATGGACATATAATAATGTGTTATTAAACACTTGTCTTTTTAATTCTTCACTATTATAAAAAATACCAATATGAACACTCTTTATATATTTGTATAATCCAATAAGTACAATTTCTGGGTAAAAAGCATGTCCATTTTAACACTTTTGATACCTTCTTCCAAACTGATACATTGATTGCACCAAATTCCAGGCCCACTCAATGGCAGTAAATGTTAATCCTCCTTTTACATTTTTTGCCAACCAGGTAAATAAAAACTATTTAGCATCATTGTTTTCTTTGTTTATAAGTAAGGGTGAACAGGTTTCTGTATGTTACTGGCCCTTTCTTTTGTGATGGATTTCCTGTTAATGCCTTTTGGTCTTTTTTTTTTTTTAATTTTATTTTCTATTTTTGTAGGTGGCCTTGGTCTTTCTCTTACTGTTTTGTAAAATATCTTTACATACTAGAGTTGTGTTGCACAGAATTTCCCTAATTTTTCAAACCCATGCCAAGTCTCTAACAGCATATTTTCAGAGATCTGCAGGGTTACTGTATTTTTCTCAAAAGGGGTGCTTTTAAAATCCATCACTTGTTTTGTTTTTAAACCTAAAAATGCATGGTAATGGTAATTATAAAGACAGTGTTAATATCACATAAATAAAAAAAAAATTCATACTGTATCTAAAATGTATATCAAAACAATAGGAAAAAATACTGCACTAGTTCACAGAACATTTCTCTTTTTATTTGTTGCTCCAAAGCCTGGCAATGCATTCTATATACTGAACATTCTGGTTATTTGGTCTGTTTGTCCCCAGGCCTTCCACTGAAAGAATTTTATTAATATTCTCATTGTGAGCCCTGTTGGAAACTTCCAGGGTATAACATACAATTGTATATTTTTGCAAGACAAACCATTAGGATGCAGAATGTGGAAAGCAAGATTGTGGCTTTGGATTATTGGATTTTTCTTACCCTCTCCAAAGTAATTTCTTCAAATTCATATTCAATTTCTGTCCCATTGACCTGTAAATAGGGAAAAAAAGAGAGAGAGAGAACGATTAAATACATACTGAGATGGAGGCAGCGTTATCTTAAATAACATTTGGGAGTTAAGTTTCATTCTGGCTATGAATATACCACACTTTTTTTGATATGCGATTGTATCTAAATAAAATATAATCCAAGCTACTCTAAAATATATGAGTGAGACTCTACCAAAAAAATAATCAAGCTTATTGCATCCCTTAGAATTTTGCAATATTTGTGGGACAGAGAACAATACAAAATATGCATTGTGAATTGACAAAAGAATAAGCCACCCAGCAACAATGTCACAGTTGTAAGGAAATTTTTTTCCTAATGTATTTTAAAATGTCTATGAATTAACACTAATATGCTACTTTAAAAATCAGCTTTAAGGGCAGCACAACCGCATGTCATTCTTTAATCTAAAATATCATTAAGAATGACCATGTCACATAAGAAAGCCTTTCTTTATTGGCTTGAGCTCAGGTGATTCATCCCTATTATCCTCTCATTATATTTATTAGGAAGCCCTGGGCCATGTAACCATGCCCATGTACTTCAGTTGCAATAAAAAACAGAGCAAAGTAGGACATGGGCGAAATTCTTACTGAGATACTTTTAACCATCCAACCAGCCTTTGAATTGATTTGAACTTAAAGATATATGGTTTACATATAGCCAGGTAACATATAGCATAGGCCTTAGATTTCAACAGATGTACATACAGCATATATCAAGAGCTGCTTTAAAATAATCCAACAGATATTCAATTCCCATTCTTATCTATCACAGAGTCCTTTTGAGCCGGGCAAAACTTCTAAGCAAAAACATTCTCAAATCACTAGTTTCTTTTTTCATATATGTGTCGGTAATATTAGTAATATTTAGGAATCTCTAAGAAAGACTAATTTTTAACTATAAAACTGTTGTTGTTGTAGAGTTCTCATTTCAGTTGACTTTCCCTTACATAAAAAATTTTAAACATAGTTTTTTCAGATTGAGAGTTCTATGGAGGCAAGAATGGGATAGTCTACTAGAGAGCCTGGCAAGAAAGAATTGATAAAACAAACAAACAAAACAGTGAATGAATGACTTGATGAATGGAATGCTTCATTCATTTATCTGACTTAAAGACACAGATAACTATGAATTCACTTCCCTGGGGAATTGGAATGTAGTAACATCAACTGGAGATGTAATTATAACTATAATCAGCAAATACAAAGAATGACAATATACTTTATTTATGTGTGTCCACCAGCCACTTAGAACATGTTTTTGATTTTCTAATTACATGAGCTAATTGGTGAATCACATTTGATTGTGTTACTACATTATCAAACAGCCCTAAACCAAATTTGATTTTCTGGGCTTCAGCAACTTAATGACTCATAGAAGAGGACTTGATGAGGTTAGAAAGCTTTAGCAGCTCTATGGAGGTTTTTTGTTCTTCATGTCTAAAAATACAAAACAAAACTCAAATCCCCTGTATGTGTGTATTTTCACATTATTCTCTTTGTTTGTTTTTATAACTTTGTTGAATTAATAGAGGGCGGGCAGAAAGAGAAGGCTGAATCGATGTGATATGTTTTAATTCCCTCAGCAGGGCTCCTTGACGCTTTGCTTTGCTTTGGTGAATCTCTAGAGTGAAGCCCCTTCACATTATTAAAGCACAGCAAACAGGGAAGAAAAAAACAACTTCAAAGAGAAGAAAACAGGCTCCTGATAATAAAATATAAGACTCGGGGTGAAAGAAATTCTTTTAGGTGGTGCTTGAAAGACAAATATATTTTAGTGGCATATGTTGCATCGTCATGGTCTACAAAAATCTTGACTTAACATTTCTATGATCATACATGCTGAGTTATAGATCCTAGGAGCATTAGTATACAGATGTTCCCTGCTCAGCTCGATGGACTATTGCAGGCTTATATCTACATTATGGGTCTTTTAGTTTCAACCCCAGAAAGTAATGTCATTTGCCTAATTCAATAGCATCTAGGATATGTCTTCATATGAAGGGATAATGCCATCGGGGTTTGAATGTAACCTTGTTTTTAAAAGAAAGCACCCCATGACTACAACAGAACTTAGTAAAATTATAAAGGTGTGAAGGTTTTTTGGCATAGGTGAAGCAATATTTCAAACTTTAATTGAGGAACATTTAAAACATGTTTTTCCACGAGTCCAGTGTGGGAGTTCAGGAAAGGCATTTAAGAGGTCCTAGTGCCCATTCTCTCATCACTAGGAGAGCATAATCTATATTTGCCTAAGGACCCCTAAAACAAGAAATCCTACAACCTCCCTTGGCAAAGACCTTGGAGGAAAAAACAGGAGAAGGAAGACCTAAGAATACCTCCATTTAAGACATTCATGAAAGTTAAGTGACTTTTCAAATGAGTACACCAATACAATATTCTTTACATATTTTCCCCCACATTTATTTAAAGGAGTGGCTGCTTATCAAGAGGTAAAGAACCAAAAGGTATGAAAAGTATTTCCTCCTAGCCATAATTTTGTGTATTCTCAACAAAACAAAAGACCCTCCACCCTCTTGGGTGGTGTTTTACAGACAACTGACTGAACTTGCCTGGTGGCTGTACTCTGTCCCCATCAGTTCCTGCTTTTCAATTCACAAAGTTCTCTTCCTAGGATGAGTTCTGCCGAATACAATTGTTTGCTGTTCTGGACCAGTGATATTTCCCTGGTAATATTTAATGCCTAGTAATGTTTAATGCCTCTGATAGTGTGGGGCCTGGACAGCTGCATGGTGAGGGTTTCTGTTATTCCAGCTCTGAGCTGTGTCTGGGACCAGCATTTACAGTATCCTCTCCACCTTGGGAAAAGAAAAGTGAGAGGGGCTGGCCATTTTGTAGACATGGAGAATCAATAAAGTAAATGGAATTTCCCAGTTTTGAAAAATCTGTTTTTTCTTCAAATACATGCTTTTGTCTGAACCGAATGGTTCTGCAGTGACAGCTGGTAGGTTTCTATGGTGGCCAGAAAAGCAAATTAATGCCACACATTGTCCTGTACTGTTCTGGGCACGTAGCCTTCCTGGCATCATAGGGAAGTGAAGACAAGAGAATGACCCACTCAAATTCAAACTCGGTATTTAAAGTTTTAATTTCATAAACTTGGAATGTTTTACATGATTCTTTCATCTCTGACAGCCTTTAATTTCACTGCCCTTTTCCCCCCTTCAGTTCTCTAGTAACCACCTGCCTGAATGATAA